GACAATACACTCAGAAATAAAGGGATTTAGCAGTGCAAGTTTATTCACCCTTGGATGAGAAAGAAACCCATAAACTCTTCATGCAAACACTAAAGTCTCCTTATTTTGGACACCTGGTTGCAATCACATCCAGTAATTTTTCAGACTTAGTCATGGTTGGGGAGATGGTAGAAATGACCATAAAGTAAGGCAAGATTGAGGAATGGGAGGCAAGCAAGTAACCTCCTATTAAAAAGAAAGATGGAGAGATTAACAACGTCAACACCTATAACACTAATAAAGGTGTTACAATCTCCAACCCAAAATCAACTATAGCTGTACCATCAGGTACTTATAGACAAGATTCCAAGGAACCCATGAAGGAAAGGGAAATGGAACATTTCGACCCCATTCCCATGACATACAAAGAGCTTTATCAACAACCTTTTGATACCCACGTAGAGTCACCATACCCAATGGAACCCATTTAAATGAATTTATGCTACTTTAACAATGGCAAGCAATGAATTAAATTTGTAGTTGAAATTCTTTGAATACCAATTGAATTAAAAAAACTCTATAAATGATTCAGAGTTACAGATCTTTGACAAAGTAACATAATTAAAAACCGATAAAACAAAGGACCTTATCCTTACCCCATAAGATAAGCTTGAACACTATACCCTTCTCTTAAAAGAACCGATACAACCTTCTTATCTCACAAGGGAATGAACAAGAGGCTTGGTATTCAGGTAGGTATAGGAGCGAACAACATGGGGCATCTGTTACGTATGAGATTACTATACTTTTATTTAAGACGTTCAATGATGATCACGATCTTTACATATGGAATAGTCTAGTAGATGAACCTAGTTCATATCAGTTGCCTGGAAATTGAACTCTAAAGATGAGATTTCTTGACTTTCAACAACACCTAAACTATAACAGTTTCTTGACAAACTTAAGAAATTGGATCCATATACCCAGATTATAATATTATTGTATACAATAAAGCTTGAGATGTCTCTCTAGATTAATTGGTTAAACGCCCTGGCTTTATGGATAAGATTCAACTAGCCTGATAAAGGTGATTATAATATTTATACAATAAAGCTTGAGTTATCCCTCTAAAGCAATTGGTTAAACACCCCGACTTTATGGATAAGGTTCAGCTAGCCTGATAAAGGTGATTATAATATTAAGATATCCCTCTAGAGAAATTGGTTACACGCCCCGGCTTTATGGATTCAGCTAGCCAGACAATGGTAAATTAAATCAAATTTATCTAAATAAGGAGTTTCGATAAAGATGGACTAAGGGAGTTAAGGAACACCTATTATAGTCAATTTCACACGAGCACTCAAGAATTTCATTTTTAGACCGATATTTCAGTATTGCCTTTGTTAGAGAAGCCTACAAAGCTTGAACAAGTGGAAGATTTCAGAGAACCGAAATAGAAGATCTAGTGATTGATTATGCTAAGTTGCGTCATTTTATTCGCATCCGATTAAAATACCAAGCCAAGGAAAATGACATGTTGCAATTATCAAAAGGACCGAGAAAAAAATGAAATTTTGATGGCCGAAACCTTAGAAAATAGGATGCCAACCTAAAGCCAACTCATCAATTTAGGATATTTGTCAAAGAGCTATAACTCTGAAAATATTAAAAAGAGCTATTGATTCTTTTGATTTTTCATGAACTCATGTTTATGATTTGATTTGATTGCGAGCCTGAATTAAGGGGCAATGTTTTACAAAATTCTTATATTCTCATATCTTTTTCCCTCCTAAAATAAGAAAAAGAAGAAAAACATTTTCAAACAGGACAATCTCAAATGTGAAAGGCTGCAACCTGAGAAGAAAATGGGGCATGGTCGATTCCGAGTACAAGACGACAAAAAAAGAGGCTCCATCCAAAAGATAAAACAAGAGCTAATTCATGTTGCATACATCTTAGGCATACTTAAGAGCATCACATTTATCATTTTTTAGCATACATATTTTTGCAGCTTTTAGAGTCAAGTTTCGATTTCAAGACGAAAGATACTCGATTGAAAAGCACCTTTAAAGATCGATGGTGGTTGTTTAACTCAGAAGCGAGAAGCTACACCTCAACCAACTTGACATATTGAAAGATTGAAAATCAACTTCAGACGGGTTTGAGAGCCAGTTCAAAACGGATCCAGTTCATCTTAACTCAACGACGAGTGGCCAGTTTCTAGTTAAAATTTTCAAGCCAGATTTCAACTCCAAGACGGATGATATCCAACTGACAGACTACCTCACTTGTCTTTCTCACAAAGAGGAGTTACTCGAAGATAATCCCACATGGCTTTCCCGTAAAGGGGAGTCATCCAAAGATCATCTCACCTGGTAGTGTCGAGAAAAGCTATTTGTCAACGAGAACTTTCGAGTTCGATTTCATTCAACTCGAAGGCCTATCAACCACATGGTAGTGTCGAGAAACTACTTTTCAGTCGAATTTTCAAACCAAGGTCTTTAAAACGAGATGAAGACCAAAGTTGACTACGATTCAACGACAAGAAGCCGCATTCCGATTCAAATTCTAAACTACGGTTTCAATTTCATATCATTTCAAGATGGACTTGACTTTGCGACGAAAGAGTCATGCAATATCAGAGTCAATTTCAGCTCCATAAATGAGGATATTAGACTCAGGGACCCCTTCATACCGAACAAAAATTTGTGTCCTTTTATCTTTGTCCTATTTTTCGTTCCACGAAAAAGGACAGAGAGGGGCAACTGTAGACACTCATTTTCGCCCAAATTATTTTATTTTATTTTGTTTTATTATATATATATATATATTATAGTTTGTAAATGATTTTTGAAATTTATATATTATATATAGTTTTGAAAACGATTTTTGAAAATGTATATATATTATATAGTTTTTTGAAAACATTTTGAAAATTATATAATATATGGGTTTTTAAAAAACATTTTGAAAATATATATAATATATAGTTTTTGAAAACCTTTTAAAATCTTATATAATATATAGTTTTAAAACATTTTTGAAAACATATATAATATATGGTTTAAAAAAACATTTTGAAAATTATATAATATATAGTTTTGAAAACTGTTTTAATATATATATATATATATATAGTTTTAAAATATTTTTAAATATATTTTTTTTTATTTATTTTTATTTATCTTATTTCATTTTATTAATTTTATTTTTTTATTGTGGTCCAAAGTCTAGGTTCGGGTCAAAGCCCAACCGAGCCTACAAGCCTGACCCAGCGAGCAGACCCGGTGGGAAGCCATAAGGGTCTAGGGGTTTTTACACTTAGCACGGGCGTCACAAAAAAGGTTCTTAAAGGGCACGTGAGGACCACGCGCCAGTCAAACTTTGAAACGGCCGACCGAGATACCGAAACTGAACCATCCTGGGATTTTCGGTCAACCCAACCACGAGCAATCCGAAATAACCGGGAACGATCTCGTTGCCATCGAAAACAACCCCATCGGGGGCTATATAAATACCACTGAGGATCAAAACACAAGGGGGAACCAGAACGAACAGATGATCAATGACAAAGCCAAACAACCATCGAACCACATCAGAGGGTAAGAATAACCAACCACAGAACACATCGAAAATACCAAGCATAAAAACACAAAAAGAAAAACAACCAAAGCAACACAACCGCAAGGAAGCAACCAAACCGACGGTCACCGAGAAACGGAGAAGAAACGATAAAAAGGTAAAACCCGAAACCTCTCGGTTTAGATCTACACCTGTGGGGATATTTTCTGGGTGTTTGGGCTTCGGGTTTGGGTTTGAGACGTTGCGAGGAAAATTTTGGGGGCATTTTGGTTTTTTTTTGTGGCCGGCAACAACGGTGCATAGTGGCAACGGTGGCTGGTGGTCGGCCGTTAACCGGTATTCCTCCGGTAAGGGAAAGCTAGAGAGAATGGAGAGCTTCTCGAGAAGCCAAAGTGAGAAAAATGAAGATTCCCGAATTTTGGCCTTGTGTTGGCCTTTAAATACTCCCCACGAAACGACGTAGTTTTGATGGGGACTGGTCTGTAATTTTGTGAATGGGGTTAATAGCACTGTAAGTCCCTTATCCTTTGTAATATTATTTTTTATCCAGCTAATGAATTTTGATTTATGTTAATTCAAGAACTATTGTTTCGATAATTATATTTTAGTCATGTTTTTTACATTTTATGTATGTTTTTTGTTAATATTCAAATTGGCCCCCTAACTTTTTATTTTTTTCTTTTGCAGTTCATTTTTAATACTAATTTAACCCATTAATTTCAATTTGGTCTTTTTATTTTTTACTTATTTATTATTTTTTAAAAACCTTTTTAATACTTTTTCCTTTATTTGACATTTTTTATGTTTATTTTTTAATTTAAAATTCCTTTTACCTTTTTCAGTAATAATCTCAATCGATCAAAGGTAAGCAATTCGAGTTGAATTTTTAAGTTTTAATTTAAATTTAAATTTTCACAATTAAAGACAACCGACAAGTTAATTGATACCGAAATGGCATTACAAGGGTGATAATCCTTCCTTGACTGTAACTGACTTCCGAATCCAACATATTTCTAGTAAAATGCAGATATGGTAAGATAATGTTCGATCAGCCTAAATGTTTTTTAAATGATCGGTGACGACTTTAACATTTTTATGCAAGTCGAAGCCCAATTCTGAGCCCACCCGAAAGACGGCCGTGACAGACTGGAATGTAAACAAATAAATTTGCATGTCCTAAAAATAAAGTGCAAGTTTGACCAAAACATAAACAAAATAAAATTAATATGCAAAACTCGAAATAAAAAAAAAACAAGAGAACTAGTGACCAAAATGGAAGTTCATGGTTAAAATACGGGGACCTAATTGGTGGTTAAACCAAAATTAGTGATCAGAATGCAAAAGGAGGCAAAAAAAGGAGGACCTTACTTGTGATTTACCCAAAACCTAAAATAAAAACATTCTCTCCTTTTCGAAATCAATTATGCCCGATGATTTCAACCCTCACTTCCTCTCTTCGCTCAAACGGTGACAACCCCCAAAGAGCCCAACGTCGGACGCCACAGAAAGGAGGCCGTTCTCGCTCTTAACTCCGACCGAGTACGGTCTCAAACTACCCAAACACCCTTAAACTCTCCATCTCCCTCTCCCCTTTCATCTTCTTCTACCGAGAACCAACCCACTAATAACCACCATGCACGGTGGATCACCAACCCTAAACTAAAACCGATTACCCCATCTCCTCTCCTATGGCACTGCTACCCCGAAGAACCCAACGGCCACAAGGTAATTCCTTCCATATCTTATATGATTTTTTTTATGAAATTAGCATAAAACGAAAACGAACATATAAACTAATTTCTATTCTTTGTTGTATTTTTACGAATTTAATACAAAAACAGAGAAAACAGGTTAGAATACCTCTTTGAAATTTTGCTTTCGGTTCTATCTTTGGATTGCTGAAATTGTTTTTGTTTATTGCTGAGAATTTTTTCTTACATTGTTTGTTTGATTGGGTTTTATACCCTGTTACAAAAATAATAAAATTGTTGTTGATGTGCAGCAGGGGGTGAGGAAGCAAGTATAGATGCTGTGAGGAATGGTACTGGCACTGGCACTGTGGAGCAGGGCATGGGTCTGCTGGCAGTGGGTGTGGCGTTGGCAGCTGGCACAGCATGGATTCTTTGCTCGACTTCTCTTTCTCTTTTTTTATTAATATATATTTGGGTACAAAAATTGGTGATTACAAGAAATATGGAAGATTGGATCCATAGTTCCATGAATGTTGTTTCATCATCCTCTTCATTTTACTACTTAAACCTATATATTAGTACCCATGATCCTTCATTTCCAAGTAATAGTTTCGCTGAAAACTTCAGGAGAATTCACAGTTAATAAGGTAAACCTATAAAGGGAAAACCCTTCTAAGCAACAACAATCAAATACAAATTTCAATATTTACACAGGATGCCATGCAGAAAAGAACATGGCAGATACATGAATATAAGATTTAAAATCATCGACCCTAAATACCTAATGCACTGAATACTATAATGATGTCAATCAGTGCATATAAAGAACACAAACATCAAAATCAACATTATTTGTTTCCAGAAATTATCAGTCTATAAAAGCCTTATGCAAAACCAGACTGTACGCTTAGTAGCTATCATGTAACTAACAACTAGCAGCAGGTTTCTACCTAGATAAATTTGTTTCCAGGAAAACATAACTACATTCTAAGCTTTCACAGGACTTAAAGTGACAAATTTCACCAAGGTCGATAGATTACCGATCAATAACATGTTATCCACTAGCCTTCTCAATACCAGATATTTGCAATTGTTGTCCATTACTTGCCTTCAAGGCCAGTAACAGAACAACTTTGTTCGGGATACGTACAATCGAAGTTTATCACATTATCGGCACAATAACATAACAGCCTATTTTGTGAAGCTCCTACGGAGCCAGAAGCTAGATAACTAAGAACTCCGCAGCACATGCTCCATTCAGCTATTTTGGCAAATAACTTGAATCTTAAAAAGAACTTAGGAACTTGAGATTCAACCATAATGTTAGCTTCAAGCACATAATTATGATATCAACAACATTTGAAGTTCTTCCCAAGTTTAATGAACACAGCATAGGCAACATTACTAAAATTGGCATTGCAAGCAACACAAAGATTTTATCAAAGGAGATAGTAGCAAATAAGGTAAACCATTTAAAGCATGAAATCAATCTCTTCAACATTGATAATTATTAAATATACCAAAAGTGATCACCCCACAGTTTATCAGCTACAAACGGGGCAATGCACGAGACCGTTCTCGTTACACTCGGAACACCTGACCACCACCGTGCTCTGCCCTCCACAGTAATCTTGCAGCAGCCGTTGCACCGAAAACACGAAAAAATCTCACATCTCCACAGCCATGGCAAACCTCCCCTCCTCTTTTCTTCGACAAGCCTTCAAGTAAATCACCAAACCAACCTTCATCCATGACACTCATAACTTCCTCTGCTCCCCCAATGTAGAACCCTTTAATAAAAACTCGGGGGCAGCTTAATTATGCTCGTCGACTCTTTCTTTTTTTCCTTTCATTAACTCCCTTAACTCTTCTCTGATCCCTTGGTCCATAGAAATGTCCCGTTCACAAATTGCAAATCCAAAACTTTGAATTGCCGATCTAAATACAGTGCAATCTTCGTAAGTTTTACGGATTCCCCTCAACGTCGTTGTGTAAATCACCACTATGTTTCCTCTGTTAGGCGGGCACATTTTCTCGAACTTGTCAAAGAGTGACGGTTCCAAAACGCTGTCGTTTCCGGATTCGAGTTTCTTTTACGGGGAAGAACGGGAGAAGGTGGTTCCTTTGCTTAAATTAGGATCAGTGTTTTCGGCCTGGAATTTATTCAGTAGCGAATCCCGTGAAAGCGGTGGTTTTGAAAGGCACTCACTTTCGCTAAAATTAGGATTAAAATTTTCCCTGTTGAGAAACGGGGAGAAGCGGAAGCTATCTGCGTCGAGGCTGGACATGAGTTCCGGGGAGTTAAGGATATCGGGTCGGGAAGGGAAGGGTCTAGGCTCGGACCAAAGCGACTTGGATTCACTGAAGTTGGATCCGAGGGTGAAAGGAGGCGGTGGGGTGGGCGGCGGATTCAGGTTTAGTAACACGTAGGTTTTGGAAGTAAGGGATACAAGTTGAGTGAACTCGTCCTCCTGGTTCAGCAAATTCGAGGAAACACAACCCATTACCACAGAGTAAAGATGTTTGTTTTTTAGAATGGGATTTGAAAAACTGTTGAAGTCCTGGAAGATGACACTGAAAGAGGAGAAAAGATTTTCAAATTCTTGGGGTGAGACTGAAAGAATCCTTCCGGAAAATTTGGGTTCTTTCTCTGGGCATGTCTTTATGGTAGCCGTTTATCAGGAAATCAATACAACCCGGAAACAACTCAGTTTTATAGAACCCAAGCTGGGTTGGTTTTGAATTTTCTTAGAAGGTACCAAACACAAATAAATAAGGTATTTTCTCTGCTATTGAGATCTGTGTGGTTCTTCAAGATCCCTCAAAGCTTCATTTTGTTAAGTACTGGAAACCGCTACGGGTACTATTCCAAATCTATTTTCCCAACGGTTACATCGTTGATTTTTTTTTCTGTTCTATATTTTTTGCTTTTATGCTTCCGTTTCTTCTAGCTTCTGCTCTGTTTTTTTTCTCTGTCTGTTTCTGATTTCTGTAAGTTGTAACTTGGCTTTAGCGTTGAATAAGAGATACATATCTTGAGTTGCTTTCTTTCTTTCTTTCGAAATTACCTGGTGTTGATATTGAGCTGAAACCACTTTTTATTATTTTTGGTTGCGTTTTGATTTTGTATTTTCTTGTTTGTTTTTGTAGATCTAAGTGGTAGTAGTGTGTGTAGATCTGTGTTTTATAAGCTATAAATTTACTTGAATTTTTCTAATAAAATAAAAGATCGAGTGTTCAATCCTTGTCACAATTTTTTTTCCAAACAAAGGAAAAGAGTCAATTAGCATAATTCTTCGTTTATTCTTTTTTTTAAATGGCATCTTTCTTTTAGATTCTTTAGAATTTTACGTTGAACTGTTTTTTTATTTGTATTTTTTCATTGTCCTAGACTCCTAGTATCTTATATCATTATCGATTTTTAAGTAAGATATAAATCCAATCATTGGTTTCTAGTTGTTGGCCTTAAGTTAGGTAAGATAGTGTTAATTTGTCTTAAAATCCTATTAAGTAACCAATTAGGATTCTTAGTACCCCTAAATTCTCTAGCGTTTTATTGGTGCATCTTCTGTCTTCTTTGGATTCTTTTTTCATAGTTCCTCATAGCTTCGGCTATAGATGATTGCTTGAGGTCATGTCCTTCTTTTAGATCACATAGGGCGTATAAGGGGAGGGCTCTACAGAGTGGTGTCAAGGAGACTAGACTTAGAGTTTGTTCGTTGAATGTAGGCACATTAAATGCTAGGCTGTTGGAGCTGACCGACGTACTTAGTAATAGGAAAATAGATTTTGCATGTATTCAGGAGACTAGGTGGAAAGGGGCTCGCGTCAGAGAGTGTAATGGGTACAAGTTGTGGTATCATGCGTATATAACGCTAGAAATGGGGTGGATCTTGGTATCCTATAGGCTCAAGGAAAATGTAGTTGAAGTTTGTAGATACCGAGATAGGATCATGATGATTAAGGTTATTATAGAAGCGGAAGTGGTCAATGTCCTTTCAGTGTATGCCCCACACATTGACCTAGAGGAGGGGGAAAAACGTTGCTTCTGGGATCAGTTAGATGATGTACTTAGGAGCATTCCGGAGGACCAAAGAGTTTTCATAGGGGGAGACTTCAATGGCCACATAGGTAGTGCAACCGACGGGTATAACTGAGTTTATGGGGTTTTAGTTTTGGTAGTAGGAACGAGGAGGGGCGTACGTTGCTTGAATTTGCTACTGCACACGATATAGTGGTCACTAACTTCTTCTTTAACAAGAGAGATGTGAACTTGATTACGTTCCATAACGGGGGGCATTGTACCCAAATTGACTACATCCTGGTTCGAAATCGAGATTGATGGGCTTGCATTGACTGTAAGGTGTTCCCTGAAGAGACATGTGCATCACAACACAGATTGTACGCCATGGGCGGAGCACTCATAGGAGGGCTAAACTTGGTAAACCTAGGATCCTTTGGAAGAACTTACATGGAACGACAGCTGATGACTTTAGGAGTAAGGTTTTGTCTAATACAGGTTTTGGAACTACAAACTCAAATAATGCAGATATGTTATGGAAAAATATGGCAAATTCTATCAGAAAGGTAGGCAAAAAACCCTTGGATTATCGACAGGGAAGGTCAAGGAGAATAAAGAATCGTGGTGGTGGAACGACGAAGTTCAAAATAAGGTGAAGACAAAGCAAACTTGCTTCAAGGAGTATCTATAATGCAATGACATCGAAGAAAGATCGTGAGCTAAACAAAGATACACAGAGGAAAAGCGGGAAGCCAAGAAAACGGTGGCTAAAGCAAAGGATAAGGTATACGAGGAAATGTACAAGAGATTAGACACCAAGGAAGGACAAAAGGACATCTTCAGGCTAGCAAAATCCAGGGAGAATAGGAAAAATGATCTAGGTAGCATTAGGTTTATTAAAGACAACAATGGTGTTCTTTTAGTGAAAGATCATGATATTAAGAGGGTTTGGGGTAGTTACTTCTTTGGCTTATTTAATGACGGTGCCTCACCCTGTAGAGATAGTACCGTTGGTGGGTCAGCCATCTTTCATACCACGGCCAATGACTGCCTTACAAGTAGGATTGGGTTTGAGGAAGTCAAAATGGTTCTTAGAAAGATGGGGAGGGACAAAGCTGTCGGTCCAGATCAAATTCCTATCACTGTGTGGTTGGCCCTAGGAGAAGAGGGAGTTAAGTGGTTGACCAATATCTTTAATATTATTTTAGAGACTGCCAAGATGCCAGAGGAGTGGAGAGAGTCTACGGTGATACCAATCTATAAGAATAAAGGAGATCCCAACATTGTGGCAACTACAGAGGTATTAAACTACTCAGTCATACCATGAAGCTATGGGGAAAGGGTGATAAAGGCTAGGTTGAGACAGGTTACTAGGGTTTCGGAAAACCAATTTGGCTTTATGCCGGCAGGTCTACTACGGAGGCGATTCATCTACTTCGACGGCTTATGAAGAAATATAGAGAAAAAATAGAGATCTTCACATAGCGTTCATTGACCTCGAGAAGGCGTATGATAGTGTTCCC